TCCCTTTCCCATAGCCAAACCATTAAACTTTAACAGTGGAGACATGCTCTATTCCTGATGTTTTGATATATACCTTCTTCCTGTGACTCTCATGATAAAAAAAGAGAACACAAGTTCTCTGGTGTCTATGTAAGGATACTAATTCAATCAGACTAAGGGCCCCATCCTTGTAATTTCATCTAACGCTATATATCTCCCCAAAGACTCATTATCTATATAAGTTTTTTGGGAAAAAAACCCCAATCCCTAATATTGTCTTTATCTTATTTAAAACTTAGATATCTTTGTTCATAAGGTTTTATTAATTTTGACTTTTTGGAATGTGGAATTGAAATATTATTTATCTCAAACATTGAATGTTATGTTCTAGCCAGGACCTTACTTACCACAGCCTAGACTTCCTTCTGGGGAAAACCTAACCCCTAAGTTAGGGATGGGATACTGGGCTAAGACATTCCTCTGAGTTGAGGCATTGGAATGGCCCAGCACTGATCATATATTTCATTCCCCTTTTCTTGCTTGATTGTCTTTGAGCACATGACTGCATTTTTAACACTCTTTTGTTTGGAGTTTTACTTAATACCAACATAATTAATTAAACGCAATAGTCTATAACCAAGTCTAATTTCCCAGGTGTCTCTGGGATAATCTGAGAACTGAAGTCCATTCTGCAGCCTTGCTAGGCAAATATTTATTGTAACTTTTAAAATTTTGGGTTATGGCAAATTCAGTGAGCACAAATGCCTTTGAGTTCTCCAGAACAGTTATTTTTTTAATGATTATTATTTTATTTTGATGTGATTCCAAATTTACAGAGGTTTGGAGATTGCCTCTGACCTCCTACACCTTTTACCATGCTCAATCAACCACAGACTCCTCCTTTTGTTACTCAGTTTAAGTATGGGTGCAACACGCTTAACCACTTTCTAGATTGTTAGTAAAATGCAGGTCTCATGTATTTTCACACGCTGTAAACTTTACTCTTGGTCCAAACGTTCCTTACTAGTACTCTCTTAATTCATCCAAAAATCTAGCCCTGGATCACTGTTTTGTTTATTTCAGTCTTTGTCCAAAATGTCCTGAAGAGGGTAGCTTATGCACAGGGATGTCCTTCTCACAGTTGGAAGGTTGGCAAGTCTCATATCAAGGCAGCGGCAGATTCAGGATCTGAGCGCCTTGTTCTCTGGCTATCATGGGGGTTCTATCTGTGGTGAAAAGTTTCTTCAGTGTGTCACTGTGAGCCCAGCCTGCTTTATTGACCTTGTTAACTTCTGAAGTGCATGGATGAGCTGCTTCATGGATTGCTCACCAGCCCAGGGGTTGTGTGATGTTTCCCCATCTGTACATTTCAGTTAAGCCAGAACTACCGAAAGGGTCAAATGTCATGTGTCAAGAGCTGGCAACATTGGTTAATCCCCTTGGTGATGTTCACTCTGCCCACCTGATTAACTGCTACCACCTTCTATGTATTTTCCCCTTCTATGTAAAAGCAGTTTGCAAGTAAATCTGGGGAGACATTTTAATACTTCACAAACATCTTCACATTTTCATTTATCTTTTTCAGTGTTCACTGGTTCTTTTGGTCTCTCCTTCAAATTTAACTTGCATTACAAGGACCAAAAAAAATATTTATTTATTTACTGTGGAATGAATGCTGCCTTTTCCATTTCAGCTCTCTCTCCCCCTCCCTTTCTGTCTCTCTTTCTCTCTTTCAAATTGTCCTTGGTTTGGTCTGGTCCCCCAGACTTTCAAAGTTGTTGCTATCTGCTTGTTGGTGACACCTCCTCTGAGTAATTATGTACCTTCTGGTGCATGTTCCAAGAGCAGCAGGAGTTTATTTCAGTTTATTAGCTGCTTTCTTTTGATTCTAATTGAGGATGAAGTTCCAGTTCCATGTGGAGAACTGATAGTTTTAATGCCGCCTGACATAGTCACGGCCCCAGGCACATTTGCTAGGAGATGGCATCCATATACGCCTGAGCAAGGGCCAGCAGCCATTTTTGGATCCACCTTTTTGCATCGCAAAGATAGACGTGATATACACAGCTGCAGTAAAGTATCCTTTTGACTTCGTTGTTTTCTTTGGGTATGTTTGTTAAGAATTGAAGTAAACCTTTCTCTTCACTCAGTACACCTCTATTGGTTTATCTTTTTGTTTGTGATGTTTGATCTTGTTTTGAATAAAACAAAACATTTACCTTTCCTGGAAAGACAGGCTATTTTACAAATGGTGTTTTTGTATCTGCACTGTAGATCTCTCCATGGCATACTTAGAGAACTATGAGTTGCTATGAATGAGCCCTGGACCCACTAAATTGCCACAAAATTTCCTTGGAGGCTAAGGTAGGGTCATATATACAACAAAGTCGGAAAAGATTAAGCTTACATAATTTTCACACTGTCTACATTATATTGTAATTGCCTTGGGGGTAAGGACCCAAATCATACTTATTAGCATTCCCTGCTGGATGTGTCCAGGAATTCTTAATTGATTATTTTTCTGGAGCAGCTCCAATTGCTTTGGAACGTATGAGATTTGTTGATGCCTGAAAATACAGTCTTTGCTGTGTTAATCTACACTGAGGGCTTTGGGATGGGTCTGAACTTTCTTTTTAACTAAAGCAATTCAGAGTTAACTTTTCGTCAACATCTTTATTGTTATTATTGTTATTACTACTACTTTACAACCTTCTATTTAAAAGGCAGATAGCCCTTTAAAAGGTAGAGGTTTCTGTGTATTAAGAAGCCAGGAGATGGTGGTGCATGCCTTTAATCCTAGTACCTGGGAGGCAAAGGCCAGGCAGATCCCTGAGGTCCAGGCCAGCGTTGTTTACTGGATTCCAGGACAATTGGGATTACATAGAGAAACTCAGCCTTGGAATACCAACACACACACATACACACACATAATGGAAATAAAGATATGGCCCAGAGGATCTCCATTGGTAGGCTGCTGGGCATATTTGGGGCCTAATCCTGAAATGACAATGCATAAGTGACTTCAATGTTATCTATGTTTTGTGAAGATGGACCTTGAAAAGATGGCTTACCATCTTTGGGTTCCACTCTTGGGCCTGATGAAGTCTAAAACACAAAATCTTGTGGGGAGGGCAGTTTTTGAAATAACTTGTGGACTGTACTGTGCAAAGTGCTGTCAAAGGATGCGGAGCACCCAGCTGAGCTTCCCCTGTCACTCAACTTCGGAGACCAACAGTTGGTGGAGGGCACTCCCACAAGGTGAAATGAATATCAGCCTGAGATAGTAATCCCAGAAGTGTTTTCTGTCTTTGAGATTTGCTGGTAGGCATGCTTGCCTTAAGTGAAAGGGTTAGACTTTTCTTTGAGCACATAAGCTCTCTGCTATTTTAGGTAATGACTCTCTCCACACACATATGCTAAACCAGGAACTAGGGCACAGTGAATTCCATCAACTTTGTCCTGCCCTGTGTTAGAGTGTCTTGCTTGGCCAAGGTAATGCTCTTAAAGAGTCTGTTCTCTTCTGTGACCTCACACTGGGGCTTTGGATTAGACACTGCTGTATGTAACGCACCCATATGTTAACAGGCATTCCTCCAAATGAGGATATGATCCGGGTCATGGTGGATGATAGCTCTACTCCTGGGATCTCCCGGGGACAAGCTAGTGCTTTAGAACTGCCTTATGCCTTGATCTTAATTTATCTGTTGTATTCAATATCACTGGAAGCCAGAAAAAGGCCAAATGCTTGACCTCTGGTCCGGGACTCTGGTATGGCACCCACTCCAAGCTGCCTTTGATCCTTGCTTTGGCCAGCCAAGTAGGGGAACTCTTGTGTTCCTTGGTCCCCAGAGTTGATCTGACTTTGTTACTTTGTGACCATTTGTTACCATTTGACCGGATGGCATGTTGGAGCTTTGAAAACCCACTGATAAGTATCTGATCAGGCTGAAGTTTTTCCAGATATTCACATGCAGATTAGTTAGCTGGGCTACTGTCTGGCTGGACCTTGTTTGGTCTTTCAGCTTATGAGAACTTTGAAGGGTGGACAAAGACTGCTGTAGACAACTTACAGTGCTCACGGTAGATCTACTTCCGCTGCTAAAAAAAGCACAAGCCTTTAGCTCTGTTAATTTTAGGATTCCTATTTAGAACCGATTTAGATATTTTGAAATAATGTCTACCTTTGTAGAGGACAAAAACTAGTCACCCACTCTTTCGAAAGTTAGACTTCCTTGAGTGAAGGTCAATCGACTGAAAACAGTGTTGCAACAATCCCTGTGTATAAAGTGTTCACTCTAGTTTAGGAAGACAAGTTATAGACAACTCCCTTATGTGTGACATCACACATATTTTAAACACACGACCTTCATTTTTAAAAGAGATTTATTTATTTTAGGGAGAGGCTGGAGAGATGACTCAGCGGTTAAGTGGCTGTTCTTTCAGAAAACTCACCTAGCATCCAACGGTTTGTGACTGCAGTCCCAGGGGATCTGATACCCTCTACTGGCCTCCGTGGACACTGCATGCAGGTGGTGCGCAGATACATACGCGATGGTGAAACACCCCATACCCCTGAAAACAAACACATAAATGATTGATTGATTGATTTTATGTATATGAATGTTTTGCTTGAATATTTTCACTTGCACATTTTCTTGCCTAGTGCTCATGGAGCTAAGAAAAGGGTGTTGAATTCCCTGGGACTGGAG